GGTCTGGACAAGTTTCTGTGCAACCTGCTCTAGGTGGACCCACTTTGGTGGGGGGGTTGGACTAGATGATCTCCAGAAGTCCCTTCCAACCCCATATGATTCTATGACATGGTGGCCAGAGCCCCATGCCGAGGCTCACCAGGGTGGGAGGAGCGCAGGACGATGTCTGGTTTCCACAGCAGCCAGGCAGGCAGGCCACCCTGGAGAAACAGGCACAGCAGAGGTGGTGGGGACAGAGACACAGCTCAGCAGCCCGGGCTGGCACACAGCCAAAACACGGCCAGCGCAGTGCTAATGCTCGGTGCCAGGGTGGCACCATGAGGTGCCCCATGAGGCAGCAGCCCGGGAACGGCTGGCATGGCACCAGGGTCAGCGTGCCAGCCACTAGTGCCAACCCCACTGTGCCCTTCCCAGGCCACCCGTCACCCCTCCGTGCTGGGCCCAGGGGGGCTGGGGCTCACCATCTCCCACTCCGCACAGATGTAGGGCCCCGGCCGCAGGATCACCAGAAGCCCGAGCTTGGCTGTCAGGTCCAGGAAGGCTTCCACATCCCGGTCCCCAGCAAAGTCATAAACCCCCGGCAGCGGCTCGTGGTAGTTCCAGGGGATGTAGCTGGGGTGAGAGGGGAGATCAGCTTGTGGGGGCTCAGGGCACCCCGGCACGGCTGGGAACCATCCCACAGGCTGGTCCCTCTACTCCTGGGAAGTGGCCTCCAGCCTGGGTTGAGGATGGCAACTGGGTTTTGACTGGAACTAACCCAGGCTCGTGTTTGTGGTTGGCAAGGCCATACTGGGGGTCCCAGTCAGCCCAGTGCAAGGGTTGGCTCCTCGCTCCCTGTGCTCTGATAACACCCGTGGCTTTGCTCCGGGGACCCCAGAGCCCTCCAGGGGCCACGGTGGCTGTGGGCTGTGTGCCATCAGGGCTGTCCCTGTCACTTACACCTGCACGGCGCTGAGCCCGCTCATGTACATCTTGAGGAGCCGGTCCCTCCAGGCGGGGCGCGGGACGCGGGCGTAGTGGATGCTGCCCGAGATGTAGCGGAACGGGGCACCATCCTTACGGAAGCAGTCATCCTCATAATCCAGCTGGAAGGAGCGTGCTGGGGGGGAGGCCTGGGGGAGACGGGCAGTGACGGGGGTCTGCAGACCCTCCCCAAGCCCAGCTGCCACCTCACACGCTCCCTGGGACAGGGATTGATGGGGGCTGGTCCCTGGGGGGGGACCTTCCCCATCCTCAGGGGGACAAAGCAGGTACCACCCTCTCCTGGGAGCTCACGAGGGACAAGCTGGGAGGCATTTGCACCGCTTGACGCCCCTCCTCACTAATCAAAACACCCTTCGGCTGAGGTGGTGGCATTTTGGGGGCCGGGCAGTGCTGGGGAGGGGAGCTGGGAGCGCAAGCGGGACGTTGGGGAGGAACGGGGGGTATATGTAGCTGAAGGGAACCGGAGGAGGAAGAGGAGGGAGACTGGGGAGGAAAGCAAGGCAGATCCCGGAGCCCGTCCCACCGGACCCCTTCGCAGATCGACACCGCACACTTCCCCCCGACTTCCCACCCGTGTTTGCTCACCTCCGTGGGCAGGAGCCCCGCCGCCAGCAGCAGGGCAAGAGCCGGCAGCCCCATCCTCGCTGGGCGCTGGGCAAGCCCGGGACGGGGGAGGAAGGGGGACGTGGAAACCACCATCACATGAGCCTTCTCCACCAGCGCCAAGCGCTTCCTCAGCTCCTAAGTGCAGGCAGCTGGAACGGCGCGGGGGGGGTAAGGGGGAGGGAGCATGGGATAGGGGGTGGGTGGCTCT